TCTTTAGAGAATATTTATTTAAATCCTTTGCTTATTTTTCAACTGGACTGCTTGTTGCAGGAGTTTTTTATTCTTGATATGAATATTAAGTCCATACTTGATACATTTTTCCCCCATTCTGTGAATTGCCTTTTCATATTCTTGATAATGTTCTTTATTGCACAAAAGTTCTTAGTTTTTATATAGTCCAGTTTATTTTTTTGTTACTCATATTTTTGGTGTCAGATCTAAGAATTCTTTGCCAAATCTGAGGTTATGAAGATTAACCCCTATTTTTGCTGTGTGTGTGTGTGTGTGTGTGTGTGTGTGTGTGTGTGTATGAGAGAGAGAGAGAGAGAGAGAGAGAGAGAGATAACTTCAGCACTTAATTCAGCTCACTGGCACATTTTGAGTCAATTTTTGTATATAGAGTGATGTAGAAGTTTAACTTCATTGTTTTGAGTGTGGTTATCCAGTTGTCTCAGTAACATTTGGTGAAGACTATTCTTTTTTCACTGAATGGTTTTGACACCCTTGTCAAAAAATCCATTTGCCACAGATGATTGGGTTTATTTTTGTATTCTCACTTCTATTCCATTGGTTCATATTCCTATTCTTATGCCAGTACCAAACTCCTTTGACTGCTGTAGCCTTGCAGTAAGTTTTGAAATCAGGAAATGGGAGTCCTCCCACCAGTTTTCCTTTTTCAATATCATTTAGGCTATCTGAGGTCCTTTGTAGTTCCATACAAATCTGAGAATCAGTTTTTCCATTTTTGCCAAAAACGCCATTAGAATTTTTTTTTTTAGATTTTATTTATTTATGACAGAGAGAGATGGCAAGAGTGGAAACACAAGCACAGAGGAGCTAGAGAGGAAGAAGCAGGCTCCCCACTGAGCAGGGAGCCTGATATGGGGCTCTATCCCAGGACCCTGGGATCATGACCTAAGCTGAAGGCAAATGCTTCACGACTGACCCACCCAGGCACCCCAACCATTAGAATTTTTAATGAAGGTTAATCACTTTAAGATTGCCATATTAACAATATTAAGTACTCTAATCTGTGAATATGGGATGTTTTTCCATTTATTTTGGTTTTTAAAAATTCCTTTCAGCAATATTTTATAGTTTCCAGTATCTAAGTCTTTCACCACCTTGATAAAATTTATTTCTGATTCTTAATTCTTCTTGATGCTACTGCAAATAAAATTGTTTTCTTGATTTCTTTTTTGGATTGTTCATTACTGCTGTACAAAGCACAACTGATTTTTGTATGTTGATTCCTTACAACTTTGCTGAATTTTTTTATTACCTCTTGTGGTATTTATGTATATTATATGAGATTTTTAATGTGCTGTTGGATTTGGTATATTAATAATTTTTTAAGATTTTGACATCTATATTCATAAGGTATATTGGTCTGGAGTTTTCTTGTACTGTCCATGCCTGACTTTGGTATCAGGATAATGCTGATAGAGGTTTTTATTTGTAAAATTCTTAGACGGTAAGGGCTACATATATGCCACATATTTCTCTCCAGGTATACCACTCTGTAAAGATGAGCCCATTATGGTGATAAGAACTCTATAGAAGTAAAAGGGGAAAATTAAATCAGTGTCAATTTATTATGATTTTCCTTTTTTTAATATTTTGTTTATTTTAAAGAGAGAGTGGGAGTAGAGGAAAAACAGAGGTGGAGGGAGATATAGGGAGAAGGAATCTCAAGCAGACTACACACTGAGTGTGGAGTCTGATGCAGGGCTTGGTCTCAAGACCCTGGGATCATGACCTGAGCTGAAACTAAGAGTCAGACACTTAACAGATCGAGCCACCCAGGCACCCCAATTTACTATAATTTCCTAATATCAATTTCTCTTCAAATCTTTGAGAGAAAAGTTTAGTCTTAGGCTGTTAATGCAAAATGACTCAGAAATACATGACTTTGGTTATTTTTTCTTTTTGGGAAAATTATTTTAAAACCTGTAATGATCTATTGATGGAATTATTTAAGTTTTAAAAGCACCTGTCATAATATTTTGCAAAAATGATTTATTTTGGAAAGAACTCATGTATACCTGTTGACAACTATAAGAAAGTTAAAATTTCAAGACCTGTGAATGTTCTTATCTGTCTGTCCTTCCCTACCTCCAGTAGTTGTTGCTTGTTATTTGGGTTCTCCAATTCTCTAATAATCTTTTATGATTAGTACTTAATCCCAGCAAACAAAAATATTCAAGGCATTCTGACAGATTTGATGAGGAAAAGAAACTTTATCAAGAGGAGATGAGCTGTTAGTATTATTCTCAACTCTGTGCTCAGATTCATAATATGGAAAAGGATATAAAACATCTAAGATAAAAATACAGAAATTGTTAATTCAGTAAGCATTTAGCTTATACGAGCTAGCTGAAGTGTACAATCATGTGTCCCATATCAGTAAAGGTTTGTTTTCCTAAAAAGGAAATAGATTAGATGATGTTACTAAATAACATAGTGGTTAAGATTCTAGATGCTAGAGTAAGACTGGCCCTATTCAAAACCTGGCACTAGTGCTCTGATAATGTAACCTTACGCTCCTTAATCTCTCTAAACCTTGGTGCTTTAGCAATAGAATAGGGATCATGACAGTCCCTACCACACTCAGTTGTAAGACAGTGTTAAGAAAAATAGTAAATTTTTAATAAAAGCTTCATTATCTTTTCTTGTAGCTAAAAGCTATGGAAAAAACAAAGGATATAGTTATTAATATAACTGAATGAAGTGTTTGCTTTTAAAAATATATTGATGTACTTGGGAAAAGTTACATAAGGTAAGTTATGTGAACATTCATATTTTTATACCTATTTGATAATATAAAGAAGAATGTGTGCTTCTGTTATACATTCATTTCTAAAACAATGTAACTTAATCTCATATTACAAAAGTTATTTTCAGAAAGGGGAGTATACAATGAAGAATAATCATCATAATCTATAAAATTCTATTAAATATTCAGCTTTTTTTTTCAAATACGATTTTTCTCATCAGTTTTTGTTTGCAGTAATAAGGGAACATTTCCTTCAAAAGGCACTGTTGCCTCACAGATGCTCTCACACTGATGTGTCATTTAAAAATAGGGATACTGAATCCTTAACACTTTTTTCCTCCCTCAAAAGCAGTCTATACCAAGTAAAAAATGAAGCAGGTTTACTGATGATTTTCTTATTTATCTGTTCTATGCACTGTTCTAGAAAGGATATAAGACTTAAATTATTTCATCTGATTTTAATACCAATTAATTCACTGAAGAAAAAAGCCCAATCAAATCATATTACATTGATGAAATAATGAATTAGTTTTTAAAAACAATTCTTCTTCATGTATTTTTGTAGGAAGTCATACTATTTGAAAGACATAATCTAACTTATTTTTGTGTAGATTTTAAGAGGAACTAAATACTGAGTACTTCAGAATTGTTTGGTCTAGCCCATCAACACTTACTGGATACTGAATAGACAACAGGGACCTCCAAGTATGTATTTCAATTAAATATTGTCACTTTTTTTTTCTTTTTTAAAGAGAGAGAGTGTGACTGGGGAGGGACAGGGGAGAGAGAATCACAAGCAGGCTCCCTGCCCAGCACGGGCCCATCCTGGGGCTCAATCTCACAACTCTAAGATCATGACCTGAGCTGAAATCAAGAGTTAGAATCTTAACCAACTGAGCCACTCAGGTGCCCCTAAATAATGTCACCTTTATTCACAAAATGATATCTCTTGGTTTGCTACAGGGTATGGTACTTCTCAAACTTTCCCCCTTAATAATACTTTGTATAGCCCTCTACATGCCCCCTTTAAAGCAGGGTTCACATTTATAAATAAGTGTTTGTAATTATTGCACTTTTGTTAGAATACCTGTTCCAAGAGGACAAGTCCATCTTATTACTGCATCCCCAAATCTAAATCATAGCTGGTGCTTAGCAAGCATTTAATACATTTTTATAGCATGAAGGACTTTCTGAAATCACCTCTGATGGCCACTAGTCAATGCATACCTCCTAAGATATGGGGCATAGTCCAAAGCTGCCTCTATCAGAAAATATCTTTCAAGGGGTGCCTGGGTGGCTCAGTCGGTTAAGCGTCTGCCTTCGGCTCAGGTCATGATCCCAGGGTCCTGGGATTGAGCCCTGTGTTGGGCTCCTTGCTCAGTGGGAAGCCTGCTTCTCCCCTCTCCGACTCCCCCTTCTTGTGTTCCCTTGCTCCCTGTCTCTCTCTCGCTATCAAATAAATAAATAAATAAATCTTAAAAAAAAATACCTTTCAAGACATCTGTATTATTTACTTTTAACATTCATGTGACTTTAATCCTGATCCATTACATGTTTCTTTTAATATATGTTATTCTAAAGAAGAACTGATACATCACGGATAAACAATTTTAAGGATACAGCTGTGTATGAATGTAGTGTATGGGCTACATTTGATTTTTAGCAAATATCTTAAGTTATCTAAAAAATGGGTTTAAGAATACTTACCATGAAGGTTTTTATTGTTTTTTGAGAGAGCAAAGTAAAAATGCACTTAAAATACTTGGCATGCATAATAAGTACTTAAATATGGGCTCCCTTTATCTTTTTTTTTTTTTTTTTTAAGTAAACTCTATGCCCAACATGGGGCTAGAACTCAGGACCTGAGACTGTGTTTCATGCTCTACCAACTGAGCAAGCCAAGTGCCCCAGCCCTTTTACCCTCTTACTAGAAATCTTCTAGATTCCCTTATAAGAACCCCAATTTATATCTGATTCTTCTCATTAAGTATACATGGTCAATAACTGTCAACTAAGAAGTAAAAGTTCTCAACCCTTGAGCAAGGATTATGGCTAATCAACTATTAAAAAATCCTGCACCTACTGAACACCTCATAGAGATGAAAATTTTTTACCCAAAATTTTTAACCAGTGCCAACAATGTCCACAGAGAATTTAAATTGAGTTAATTTTTATTACTACTTATACTTAACACAAGTTTACTGTTTTAGACAGGTTGGAATTTATGGAATCTGCTTTATTGCACTGGACAGAAACTTGAAATATAGTTATGTCGACATATTGCAATTTGTGGGAAATGAGAGATGATGTTCTCTGGAATACATGAAGATTCTCAATGATTGTTGCAAGGAATCACAAAAGAGATCTTTGGTCCAAAGAAGATATCTCTGAAAGAAAACAGGACATCAGTTAAATTCTGCTGAAAACTAAGATATCTATTAGTCTTTACTGGGTTAAAAATGGACAATGATTTCCAGGATTTCAGACATAACTATTCTTTTTTAGGAAATAAAGTACAAAGAGAATGCATGGGAGGATTTGCCACAGGAGCAACAAAGACCAAGAAGGTAATCAAATTTCCTACTTTCCTCCCCTTTGCCATTGATATTATGCTATCATTTATCTAGTAGGAAAAGGAAAATTAAATGATTTCAAAACCTTATGATCATACCAAAAGTATTATTTCTCTGATATGAGTGGGGAATGGGCCATGAAGTTTAAATCCATAGATAAGAAACAGAAGGTTAAACAATTCTTAGAAAGTCAATAAATAAATTTCTACATTTTATAGGAAAAGGACAAATGTTAAGCTATTCAACTCTACTGTTATTGAAAAGATCACATTAGGTAAAGTATAAAAATGCATGAAAATAATATAAAATTGTATCATGATTATGGCTCATTAGAAATATACTTAGTATGTAAACTGTAAGGTAAGTATCGTTTACCCTGCTGTGTCATATATTTGAAAGTTGCTAAGAGAGTAAATTCTAAAAGTTCTCATCACAAGGATAAAAAATTTGGGGTAACTAATGAAGTAATGGATGTTAACTAAATGTATTATGGTAATCATTTTGTAATATATGTCTGTCAAGTTATTATGCTGTATACCTTAAATATAAACAGTGCTCTATGTTGATTATATATCAATATAAATGAGAAGAATATAGGATAGCAAATTAGAATTTTTGTTTATGGGGTAAAAAAGGAAATATACTTAGTAAGATAAATCTGTTGGTACTGGGGAAAGGGTAACTAAAATCAGATAGAAATTACTTTTGTGTATCCAAACTTCTACTACCCATTAACACAGAAGTTCAAAAAATTCTATCATAATTAAATACAAGTACTTCTCAGTAAATTGGCTTCAGGTCTTACAATTACAAAAGAGCAAACATGGTATTTTAATATTAAATAGCATTTCATTTATGTAGTCTGGGAAAAATTAAGACATTTTAATGGAATCATTTCACTCATGTTCTTGATATCATTTAGTACAAGCGATTCTTAAACTTTATCATGCATCGGAATCACCTACAGGATTTGTTAAACCATAGCTGCTATGCCTCACCTCTAGTATTTCTAATTCAGTAAGTCTGGTCTAGGGCTCGAGGATGGATATTCGTTTTTAAAGAGAACTAGGTGATATTGAAGCCGCTGATCTGGGAACCATACGTTAAGAACCAACTGCTTTGGTAGGAAAAATATTTGGTCCATATCAGAAGACCTGGATTTTAGTTTGGGTACTGATATTAGCGAGTTGTGTGGGATGATGCTGGTCATTTTACCTCTCTGCATCTTCCCTTGATAAGATGATTCTGTCTTTCCTATCTCATATCTCACGTAGGAAAACATGATGACATATGTTGAAAGTAATTTGAAAGAGCTAATTTCAGTATGAAATAGCCAAGATCATAGTATTTGAGGCTCTTCAGTAACCAGAAGAAGATGATTTTTAAAAAGAGGAAACAAACAAAAATACTGATTTATCTGCCGTTGTATTATACTTAAAATGCATCTATTTTCCAAGTCAGTAGATAATTTTTATTTAGTTCATTTCCGGTTAACTCATACATAGAGCTAGAAATTCTTTCTTTGACCATGACCACTTCTCTGTCCAATTACTTGGCCCTGCTTACTCAGATCTTTTATCTAAAGCCTTTTATTGGTTTTCAAATTGATTTAAGATATCAACCTTGAAGATGACCTTTCCCACTGGTAGATTTTGTGTGTGTGTGTGTGATAAAAGTCAGATAGGGAATTTAGAATTTAGTATATTGGAGTGTTACTAATTTTCTGAATTATATTTTGTTTTATTAAAATCTGCCAAACTCTGTTTCTTAAGTGAAAACATTCAGTTTCATACACAATGGTGATGATCCTAGAAAATAGCTGAGATTTAAGTAGGATTTTACTAAAACAGGAGATTAATCCCAGCAAACATTATAAAGTTATCTTAAAAAAGACTTGTTATGCATGCATTTCATACCCATATACTTTGTAATTACATTTCCTTACTTTGGGCAGCAGAGCAATTCGCTGAAGTTGCAGTAACAGATCATTTCACATCCCTTCCCATCCCAGAAGTGATCCTGGACGTTTACATCGATCTTTGTCAGGTCAGTTACTCCCTCCGGAAGGTTGTGACAGTTGCGATCTTTTAGTGTCTTTCTGTAGCAAGAGAGGCGATTGGCAGGCATGGCATGGACTCCTAGCAGCAAAGTTAGCCCAACAGTGACAGCAAGTACTATAAATTTCATTTTGGCTTTTTGCCCTAGGATAGAAGAGAAAGCAAAATGTGTCAGTGTTTGTTTTTTAAAAAGATGGAATTCATCTGAACATAAAGTTCTGTAGCATTCTCATAAATATTTGGAAAGAAAGATTGGGAGTTGATCTTTTCTACTCTCTTCTTTGTGTTTCTCAAAGCGTAATTTTGTGACTGTTGACAATAAAAATCTCTTAAAATAATTGTTAAAAATCAAATGCCTGGGTTCCACAACAAAATATTAAATAAATGCTGGGGATCAGGAGGAGGTGATAGTAAGAGCCAGAATCTGCATTTTTAAGTACCCAAAGTAATTTTTTATTTTTAGTATATTCAGTAGAGAAAAACTGCTTTTTAAGGTGGTAAAACTCCAGTGAATTTCTAGAACAAATACCATCATCAAGTTCAGAGGTTTTTTTTTTTTTTTTTTGTCAGAGAGAGAGAGAATGCAAAAGCACGCATAAGCATGGGGAGTGGCAGGCAGAAGGAGAAGAAAAATCAGGTTCCCCGCTGAGCAGAGAGCCTGATTTGGGACTCAATCCCAGGACCCTGGGTTCATGACCTGAGCCAAAGGCATACACTTAACCAACTGGACTACTCAGGTGTCCCAAGTTTAGTGGTTCTTGATTTGGATATCCTAACAAAAGCAATGTAAAAGAACTTGGGTTCCACTCTAACAGGAACAAAAAAACCTATCTATTATGACATTGAGAAATAATATTCTATACATATTCTTATAGTTTAATTAAGTTTTTGAAACCTACCAGAAGTATTTTGGGGCTCATTTTTCTTGCAAATTTTTAATAATATTGTGAATTTTTGTCCCATGTAGTTTACTTCATTGAAAACAGAGGCTTCAATTTCCCCTAATAAACATTTAGCCGGTTTTTGAACACCTACCATGCCAGGGAGATCATTATTGACTAAATCAATATATTCTACTGATGCAGTTCTAACATTTCCCTGACTGTAAAACATTTTTCTGTAGCTTCTACCAACCAGTCCCAGTTTGAGCTCTTGGGGTCATACCAAACAAATGTTTTTCTCTTCCAGGAGAGAATTCTTTAAATATAGTATTTGCATACAACTGTGGAATATTCATCATCTACTTTTTCCCACCTTTTTTTCATCATCTGTTTAGGTTCAGGCTTCTCTGACTTTCAGGTTAGACTTGAAAAGAATGGGGGCTATTTTAGCAAAGGAAAACTGGCAAAATAGTGGAGGAATCAGAATCAGAACCCTCAGCCATTCAGATTTCATCTCGTTGACAGATGCCAAAAGATCCTTCCTACCACGGAATATTAAAAAGAGGAGAAGACACATATGTATATTGTACTTTGAAAGAAAACAATGTTGTTGGAAGGAAATTTTTGTGTGAAGTTTTCAGTGACTAGATACATCTCAAAGGTGAATTAATTTAGGTAAGATTATGGATTTTTTAATAAGACAATTATTTTTAGAATAGTCTTTGGTTTATAATAAAATTGAAAGGGAGGTACAGATTTCCCACATACCCTCTACCCTCACACATGCATAGTCTCCTAAATATCAACATCACTCATCAGAATGGTAATTTTTTTTCCAAAGATGAACCTGCATGGCACATCATAATCTCCCAAAGGCCATAATTTCATATGTGGTGTTGTACAGTCTGTGGGTTGGACAAATGTCATTATACATTTGTCCATCATTACAATATCATACAAAATATTTTCGCTGCTGTAAAAATCCTCTGTGATCTGCCTATACTTCTCTACCTCCTTAAATTCTGGTAAACTACTGTTGTTTTTTATTGTTTCTATAGTTTTACCTTTTTCAGAATGTCATATAGTTATAATCATACAATATATAGTCATTTCAGATTGGCTTCTTTCACTTAGTAAAATGCATTTAAGTTTCCTCCATGTCTTTTCATGTCTGAACAGCTTGTTTCCTTTAGTACTAAATAATATTCTATTGTCTGCATGTACCACAATTTATCTATCCATTTACCTACTCAGGGAAATCTTGGCTGCTTCCAATTTTTGGCAATTATGAATAAAGCTGCTGTAAAGATCCATGGACCAGTTTTTGTATGGTCATCAGTTTTCAGCTCCTGTGGATAAATACCAATGAGCACAATTGCTGAATTATATGGTAAAACTATGTTTAGTTTTGTAAGAAACTTTTAAACTGTATTCCAAAGTGACTGTACCATTTCACATATCCACCAGCAACATATGAGAGTGCTTGTTGTTTCATATCCTCACCAGTATTTGGTGTTGTCAGTGTTCTGGATATTGGCCATTCTAGTAGGTGTGTAGTGATTTCATTGTTGTTTTAATTTGCATTTCCTTGATGACATATGACGTCGAGTGTCTTTTCATATACATATTTGCCATCTGTATATATTCTTTGAAGAATCTGTTAAGGTCTTTGGCCTATTTTTAAAATCAGGTTGGTTGTTTTCTTATTGTTGAATTTTTAAGAGTTTTTTTGTATATTTTGTATATTTTAGCTAACAGTCCTGTATTAGCTGTGTCTTTTGCAAGTATTTTCTCCCAGCCTATGGCTTATCTTCTAATTCTCTTGACATTTTCTTTCACAGAGATATTTTAACTATAATAAAGTTTAACTTACCAATTATTTCTTTCATGGATTATATCTTTGGTGTTGTATCTTAACAGGCATAACCATATCCAAATGTTGATTTTATTCAACAGAGTTTTATAGTTTTTCTCATATAAATCTTCTAAATATTTTGCCAGACTTATACCTAAGTAATTTATTTTAGGGGGTGGTGCTAATGTAAATGGTTTTGTGTTTTTAATTTCAAATTTCACTTATTCATTGCTTGTATGTTGGAAAGCAACTAATGCTTGTATATTAACCTTGTATCCTGCAACTTTGCTATAATCACATACTAGTTGCAGAAGGTTTTTTGTTGATTCCTTTAGATTTTCTGTATAGAGAGTCGTGTCATCTGAAAAGACAGTATTATGTCTTCTTTCCTACTTTATGTACCTTCTGTTTCCTTTTCTTGTCTTATTATATTAGCAAGGACTTTCAGTATGAATTGAAAAAGAGTGGTGAGATGGCACATTCTTGCCTTGTTCCTGAGATTAGTAGGAAAGATTTAAATCTGTCACCATTAAGGATGTTAACTGTAGGTTTTTTGGTAGATAGGTTTTTATTGTAAAAAACTTCAAATACATACAAAATAGATATAATGTTTAATGAACCTCAATGTACTCATCTGTTAGCTTCAATTTTTATCACCCCATAGCTTCCCTTATTTCACCTGTACCTCCACTTTTTTTTTCTCCCTCAATATTGATTACTTTGAAGCCAATTCTAGTCATCTCATCTTATCCACAAACATTTCGGTATAGTTCACTAAAGGTAAGAACTTTAAAAAATCATAACACAATATAAAAAAATGTAATGTAAAAATGTAAAAAAAATGCTAAATCATAAGACGATGGAACAAAATGCTAAAAAATTTTAATAATTTCTTCATATCATCAAAAAGCCAGTCATTGTTTGAATTCCTAGTTTTCTCCTCTTATTTTTTGATTGAAGTATAGTTGACATATATTAGTTTCAAGTGTACAACATAGTGCTTCAGCAGTTACGTACATTATGAAATGCTCTCCATGATAAATGTAGTTACCATCTGTCATTATACAAAATTATTACAATATTGTTGACTATATTCCCTATGCTGTACTTTTTCATCCTTGTAACTTATTTATTTGATAACCAGAAATGTGTACCTCCTAATCCCTTCTACCTGTTTTGCCTATTCCCCAATCCCCTTTCCTCTGGCAACCACTGGTTCTCTATATTTATAAATATTGTTTCTCATTGTTTTTGTTTGTTTTTTAGATTCCACATATGAGTAAAATCATATGACATTTGTCTTTCTCTGACTTGTTTCACTTATCTGTTCTAATTCTTATTACTCCTTTTCACCTGCTTACTTTGGAGCAAATTGAATTTGTTCTAGTTTCCCAAAGTGGAAACTGAGATAATTGATTTTAGATATTTCTTCTATTCTAATATTTGCACTTAATGCATTCATAAATTTCCCTCCAAGCACTGCTTTTGCTGCATCCCACACCTTTTGATTAGTTGTTTTCCTTTTCATTATTTCAAAATATTCTAAAAGTTCTCTTGAGATTTCCTTTTAGCCCCAACGTGCTATTTAGAATTGTGTTAATCTCCACCTATTTGGGGATTTTCCAGTTATCTTTCTGTTATTGATTTTTAGTTTAATTCCATTATGGTCTGAGGGAAGAAATTGTATGATTTCTATTCTTTTCACTTTGTTAAATCATGTTTTATGGCCCGGAATGCGATCTGTCTTCATGTATGTTCCATGTAAGTTTGAGAAGAATGTGTATTCTGCTATTATTGGGTGAAGTAGCCTGTAGATCTCAATTATAACTGGTTCATTTATGGTGTTGTTGAATTCTACTATGTCCTTACTAATTTTCTGCCTGCTGGATTTGTTCCATTTTTGTGGGGTGTTGAAATCTATGATATATGAATAGTGAATTCATCTGTTTTTTCTCACAATTCTATCAGTTTTTACCTAATGCAGTTTGATGTTCTTTTATTAACCACATACTTGTTAACAACTGTTATGTCTTATTGGAAAATTAACCCCTTTATCATTATAGAATATTTTACTTTATTCTTGATAACTTTCTTTTGATGTCTACTCTGTCTCAAATTCATATAGCTACTCCTGCTTTCTTTGGTTAGTGTTAGTATGGTGTATTTTTCTCCATACACTTACTTTTTATCTTTTTAAAAAGTTTTTATTTTTAAGTAATCTCTACACCCAATGTAGGGTTTTAATGTACAACTCCAAGATCAAGAGTCACACTCTCCTCCAACTGACCCAGCCAGGTATCTCTATTATGTTTCTTTATACTTGAAGTAGGTTTCTTGTAGATAACATATAGTTGGGTCATGTTTTGTTTGTTTGTTTGTTGTCCTTCATAGTATCATTCTCAATTCTTCACTAATACCTATAATAACTGCCATTACAAGATACCACAGATTGGGTGGCTTAAACAACAGAAATGTATTTGTCACAGTTCTTGACATTAGAAGTCCAGGATCACAGCAGATTTGGCCTGTTATCAGCTACCAGATGGCCCCTTTCTCACTGTGCCCTCATATTGCTTTTCTTCTGTGCATATGGGGAGTGAAAGAGAGAGAGAAGTGTCTGGTGTTTCTTCCTCTTCTTTAGTCCTTTTGGATTAGGATCTTCTGCTTAGGACCTTGTTTAACCTTAATTCTCTCCTTAAAGGCCCTATATCTAAATACAGTCACATTAGGGGTGAGAAGTTCAACATAGGAATTGGGGGGGGCAATTGAATATTACTCAGTCATAAAAAAGAATGAAATCTTGCCATGTGCCACAACATGACTAGAGCTAGAGAGAATAATGCCAAGTGAAATAAATCAGTCAGAAAGACAAACATCACATGATCCCACTCATATGTGGAATTTAAGAAACAAAACAAATGAGCAAAGGAAAAAAAGGGAGAATGAGAAAAGAAGAAACAGATTTCCAACTACAGTGAACAAAATATGGTTAAGAAGGGAGGTAGGTGGGGGAATGAGTGAAATAGGAAATGGGGGTTAAAGAGTACATTTATCCTGATGAAAAAAATATTTTAAAATTATAAAGCACTATATACATAGTTTAACATTGGGTCATATTTTTTGAACTACTCTGATGATCTTTTAATTGGGACATTTGGACCGTTGACATCCGAAGTGATTATTGATATATTTGAACTAATAGCTACCATATTTGTTTTTGTTTTCTATTTGTTGCCCTGTACTTTGTTCCTGTTTTTCTTTGACCTTTTCTTTCTGCCTTATTTTGTGGTTTTAATTGAACATTGTATATGATTCCATTTTCTCTCCTTTCTTAGCATATTGGTTACACTTTTTTTTCCACTTTTTTTTTTTAAGTTGTTGCCCTAGAGTTTGAAATTTACATTTTCAACTAATCTACATCCCCTTTCAAAAAATGCTATAGCTTGGGGTGCCTGAGTGGCTCAGTCAGTAGAATGTCCAACTCTTGATTTGAGCTCAGGTCATGATCTTAGTTGTAAGATTGAGCCCCATGTCAGGCTCCTGTCTCAGTGGGGAGTCTACCTGAGATTTTCTCTCTCCCTCTCTCTCTACCCTTCCCCCCACTCTGTCTCTTTCAGGTAAATACATCTTTATTGAGTGGGGGGGGGTAGCAGGAGAGGGAGAGAAGCAGACTCCCTGTTGAGAATGGAACCCAACTTGGGGCTCGATCCCACAACCCCAAGATCATGACCTGAGCCAAAATCAAGAGTCAGATGCTTAAAAGAGTCAGAGCCACCAGGTGCCACAATAAATAAATAAATAAATAAATAAAATGCCACACACAAACACACACACACACACACACACACACACACACACAAATACTATACCACTTCATGGCAGTTTGAGTATCCTGTAACAACAAATTATCTTAATTCCTTCCTTTCATTCCTTGTATCATAACTGTCATTTGTTTCACTTGTATATAAACATACATATGCATGTATATGTGATCTATACATAAATATGCATAATTGAATACATATTGCTATTTTTTTATTATTGCTATTATTTTGAACAAACTGTTATCTGTTAGATCAGTTAAGAATAATAAAAATAAATTTTTCTTTTGCTTTTACTTATTTCTCCTTCCATGCTCTTTCTTTCTTTATGTAGGTCTGAGTTTCTGATCTATATTACTTTCTTTCTCTCAAAAGAACTTATTTTAACATTTCTTGTAAGGCAGGTTTACTAGCAACAAATTTCCTCAATTTTTATTTGAGAAAATCTTTCTTTTTTATGTTTGAAAAATAAGTTTGCAGAGTACAGAATTCAGGGTTGAAATTTTTTTCTGTCAACAGTTTATATATTTCATCCATTCTCTTCTTTTTTAAAAATTTAAATTAATTGGGGCTCCTGGGTGGCTCAGTGGGTTAAGCCGCTGCCTTCGGCTCAGGTCATGATCTCAGGGTCTTGGGATCGAGCCCCGCATCGGGCTCTCTGCTCAGCAGGAAG